GACCAGGTCCAACAGGGCGTTTCCTCTGGTGGGACCATGTACCTCCTGAATTAAGTGGAGGTCCTGTATCTCGGCTAGGAACCTCCAGGAATGTTCCAACCTGGCGGACTGATCCTCCCAGCAGATGTCCGGGTAATTAAAATCACCCATGACAACTACATCCCTTGCCTTAAGTGCCACTGCAAGCTGGCCTGAAAATTCCCGGTCCAGCTCCTCCCCTTGGCTGGGGGGTCTGTAGTAGACCCCCACCGTCAAATCGCTCTCCCCACGGTCCCCTTGAATCTTAACCCAGAGCACTTCAGCTTGCCCCTCCTCTGACCCCATTCTGCTGGCAGAGGATGTGTGTTGCTCCTTGACATAGAGCGCCACACCCCCACCTTTCCTTCCTTCTCTATCCCGCCTGTAAAGCCTATAGCCCCTATTGCTAACTGCCCAGTCATGGGACGAATCCCACCACGTTTCTGTTAGCCCTATGACATCTGGGTTTGAACTAGCTATTCTGAGGGCGAGTTCCTCCTGTTTATTCCCCATACTGCGAGCATTGGTATAGAGGCATTTAAGGCCTTGCAAGACTGATTAGAGATACCAAAACCATTGGTGTTAGAAAGACCTTGCCTGTTGATATGTGATTGGAACCAAGGAATAACATAAAGGATTCTCAAGCATTTTCATAACATCAACCATATTCTTGAAGTGGCATCCTGTCTTTTACCTTTATTGCCATGAAGACCAACCCTCTTTCTTCTCACATATGGTCCCATTGCAGTACTATGCCCAAACAAGCAACTTCTGTAACAAAGTCAATATGAGATAAAGCTGGAAGAAAAGCTGGTTAAAAATGGCAAAGATTTTTCATTAAAAAGTTCAATTTTTTTCAATCTATAGGATTAAAAAATGACCTTTACATTTTTTCATGAAGTACTTAGCTCTGAAATTTTTCATTGTTTTGGCTTCTCCCTGTTTTGTCTCTTTCTTTTTCCTTGCTTCCTTCTCCACCCCTCCCTCCCCCACACTTTTCCCAAGTTAGATACTAAACTAGTAAGTGGAAGGAATAATAACAGACATAATATGAAAAACAACACAGCTTTGATTTTAATTTTGCTGAATAAACAGAGCATTATATAAAAATGAACCTTTTTGAAAAAATTGATCATCTCTGTATTTAATATAATTTTAGCAATTTTAAAATGTAAGCTATCAGGTGAGAGCAAGTGCAGGTAAATGAGAACTTCATATTCATTGAAGGGGAACTGGAATGTAATCAGCAGGTTGACTTTCATCTTATAGTTGGTAGCTTTATGAACAGCAATCAGCCTTTAGTTTATCTATCAGTTTAGGGGGGTATTTTATGGGAGCCAGAGCAGACACACACAGTCAATAGCTGAAGTCATTTAATAACTT